TATTTTTCCCTACGAAATTATACCATCCAGAACAAGGTTTCTGTGTCTGTTTTCAAAATTTCATTTCTTTTGCAAATAAAATATAATAAACACTTCTCTCTGAGTTCCATCACATGGAATGATACGTGTGACGGCATATTTATTATTATTTATTGATTTGTTAAAAGTGATTAGACTTTGTCTATTATTATGAACACTCTTTGTATTTTGCATCGTATAAAAAACCACTAAAGTAAAACGGAATAAAATGAACTTTTTGTTGTTGTTGATTATTTATTAATAGCCAATTCCGATTTCTTATTCATAAAGTATGAAGTCGTTCCGAAATATCCACTGGTACAATCCCTTAATGCGGTTTGCCATTGTGTGTGTTTGACCACACTAAATCATAGCACATGTTGAAAATACATAACATATGCATGCGGCCACAGTGTTAAGGTTGGAATTTCAGTCCTTTTTTTTCAAAACAACATCGATTAAATTACCTTGTTTACAACAGAAAATATGAAACTGTTCATAAACAGTTGAAACGGTAAAATGATACATCTATCTATTTTTTAAATTGAGCCATGATTGAATATGCTCGCAATTTTTTTAAAATCGTCTTATTCAAATATCCATTGTTTGTGGTACACACATACGTCTATTGACTAGATCGAGAGGAGAGTAAGTTCATCTGACTTTGTTATGAAAGAGAAGAGTAAGTTTCCTTCGACTCAAAAATGGTTAAAGGCGAGTATGTTCATTTTTGGTGGGTCCTCGCGGTTTTCCACGGTTTCCGCGGAACTGATAAGAGTTAACAACTTGGTGTCTTCGGCAAAGTTGTAGCACTCGAAGTCTTCTATAACATTGCTGAGTCAGTTATCTCTTATCTCTTATCAGCTCCGCGAAAAGCGCGAAAAATGATAAGAAAAAAAGTTCTATATAAAATTTGCTTTTTTATGTGCGCGATTTGCGCGCAACTGATAAGAGATAGGAGATAGATGTCTTCAGTAATGTTATAGAAGACTTGTGTACTACAACTTTGCCGAAGACACCATGTTGTTATCTCCTATCAGTTGCGCGAAAACCGTGAAGACCGCAGAGGCTAGACGGTACTACAACATACTCTACTTTAACGCCAACAGAATCATCAGAAAACATACTCTCCTCTTCCAAAATATATTTGAATTTTTTCACATACTCTCCTCTCGATCTAGTCAATAGTTTTGAGATAACTAAAAAAAAAACACTTTTTTCGTTACCAATGTGAAATAATGTACAAACACATAAGTGAAGAATACATTATCATCATATAAATTTATTTAATTATTTTTGACAATATTAAAATGATTTGCATACAAAAAGTATACTACGATTAAAACTACATTCCATGTAGTGCTTACGATAGTAATTTGATGAGAAACATCAAATTAATTAAACCTCTTAAATTTACAAGCTTCAAGCGGTCTTGTTTTTACCATAACATAAGACACGGGCTAAGTCTCAACTAGGGATTTACTCGGTTATAAGTCTAATTTCATGCCATCATAACCTGTCCAACTTTTTTTTAGAAATGAGTGTAACATTTCTTTCATTGATTGAATTGTCTTACAGAAATACATTTTGCTCTAACATATCATTATTGTAATGGGGGTTCAAAGTATGCCAATGCAATAGGATTGCTATTGAAAATTATATTACAATTGTAATACATTTTACTGTAACGTTGAGATTCTAATAATAATATAATTTTGATTAACGCGTTATTATTATTGCAACGAAACAGTAATAGTTATTACTTTTGTGATGTCATTACTCTTAGCATTACTCTAGATTCTTCGACTTCAAATCAATAATGAAAATGACCAAAGAATAGATCTAGTCTCCAGACAATTTGGAAAAATTACGATGAAAAATAACCAAATTATTGTTTTTTCGTCAAAATATTATTAATTGAATAAAATGCTCGATACCAACATTCATCACTTGAATTTATTTTCACAGTTTAAACTTATCTGCTCGCTGAGTACAATCATTTAGAAAAAATTTGGAAATTTTTATGATAATATCATAATGATATCTACCGAAATAAAGTAAAAGTGTCAGACTTTACTTTTAGGGTGTTTTTTATAACCTGAAAAAGAAAAATGGTAGATTTTAAATTAAAGAGGAAAAAATTCTGTATCAATTAGTGGTGTTCACACAACGGAGCAATCGATATTCACACCTCCCGAAGCAAAAAGACTGCTTTTCCATTCAAATGTCTAAATAACTCTCGCTCCGAAGCGTTGAACAAATTCTACTTACCGTGATATGATGCATTGAACAAGTCATATCCAAAGAATGCGGCGACATTGTCAAACCGGAAAATGAACATAACCCATTCTGATCATCAAATAACGTCTATAAAACCACTCATGTACTGCGGTAAATAAAGTTAGACACCTTATAAACCTTAAAATAGCCCACTAAGTGCAAGGCTTGAGAACTCTAATAAACTATTAGAAAATATTTGTTAAAAAAAAAACTTTAATGCTAAACGCTGGATTTTGATTTATGAATTGAGTGGAACGCCGTCGTCATCTGGTCGTCGCAGCAATGCTGGATGTATCGGAATGTCAAGCAGCGTGCAACGACCTAAGTAAATAGAAAACAAGCACACAAATAACAATTAATTTAAGCGAAAACCAAATCGATTCCAATTTTCAAATGAAATATTAATAGATAATGAACTTTTGTACATGATCAGTTTGGCTGCTGATATGTCCCGATGCCAAAGTGATTTGAGCAACTTGCGTGATTGTGCAGCGTCTTCTGTTCCAGCGTTTTCAGCAGCATTTGGTTGCCAGGTTTTGAAGAAGCGTTGCTTCTTTGACACCAAACGTCCTGAATTTCGTTGGGTTAGAATGGCTGCAATAGCATCACCTTGGTCGCGCATTTCCTCCCATGTACGCATGATTTTTCGTTGCATTTGTAACACTCGTTTGCTCACGTTCGTATAGATGGTTCTCGGAAGTCCAACACGTTCATCTGGTTGGCAATCGTTGCACTTCTTGTATCGTTTGCTCTTCGTCCATATCGGGAACCGTTTGAAGCATCGAGCACAATGTTGCGATGTCATGAATTCATCCACCAACCGAACGACACAATTGCCACGTCTTTTGAAGGCTGCAATCAGCTTGCGAACGCCTGGACACCGCACGTGCTTTTTGATTCGGATCGGGCAATTTGGTGAAATTTCGGCTGCTCCGAAATGTTGATGATAGCTGTCTTGAAATGTACCAGCTGTAGTGAATTCAACTGCGACATCGGCCCATTGGGCAATAAATCAA